AGATGGGTGAAAGCAAGACAGAAATTCAATGGTGTGAATTATAACATTACTCCTTATGTTAATTTTTTTGGCTGAGGACACCTAGATATCTGATATCAAACCCTATCTGCTACCCCTTTAGAGAATGCAACTGTAAGATTGAAAAGGGACAATAATTCAGTGGGTCAAGATTTGTTGTTTAGATCCCATATGTATAGTATTGTATGTAGTATTTTTTCAGAAGAAAAGAAATCAAGCTTTGTAACTTAATAAAGGAAAAGATTCAATAAGCATGAGTGAAAAAATGCTAATATGAAGAATGGAGTGCATTTGAGTTAAGCATTTATATGTAAGCATCAATATATATATTAGCCATAAAAAATGATCATGTATTCAGAGTGGAGCTTACCATAAGACTGAGATTCTCTCATAAGCAGTCATTTCCTAACTTTCTGTCAGTGTAATTCACCTCCCCACACATTCAAACACTCACACACAAACACACCACACCTTTCTGCATAACTACCATTTCCCTCCCTGCTCACTTACACTGTGAATTGCTTCACTTATAAAGAGAACTTCCTAACATACTATATAAGCTTTAAAATATAAACCATTGGGAGATGAAATTAAATTAATTCACAGTCACGGCAGTAGTGAAGAAGAAGCTAAGAGATCAATGCAAAAATTATTTAAATATCAAAGAAATGAAGAAATGTCAAATGATTCTTTTACACTCTGCTACAAATTATAGCAGGACTTTACGTACACATTTTGGTAAAATAGATGAAAGCCTGAGTGAGAGGAGCAAAGTGAGTCTGAGGGAACCGGGATAGACTCTGAGTGTGTCCTGCCCTACAGTCAATCATATTTGAGAACATCTCCAGAAGAAAATGGAGAAAAAATACTCATTCAATCTTTCTGCCATTTCTTTTTGTTTTGTTTGTTTTGTTTTCACAACTTCTCATACTCATACATTTTCCCTGCATAATGCTTTCTCTATATTGGCTCTATTCTTTCCACCCCTTGGACATACACACATATATAATATGTGCATATACTATAGTATAGATAAATATATGTGTGTGTGTATATATGTATATATGTGTGTGTGTACATAATGTATATATGCATATAATTAGACAAATAATAGAAATAAAAATGAGCTTGAGAATCTGAAAACAGATGTCACGTTTATGTTTTGAGAAATCGTCAAATAACAAAGTTAGGCACCTAGTATCATTAGCATGTGTTTTCATATTGATGGTATCCTTTACTTGACTGTTACTCACCCTTTCCCATTTGTTTTTTAAGAATGAAAACCCTGTGTGTGGTGTTTTTGTGTGTGCATAAATAGAAACCTAAAAGAAATTAGCAAATCGGTATCCTATGCAAGAATAATTATTGAAAAAATAGCCAACAACTTTAACTTTTCATCTACAGTGAGTAAAGGTGAGAATTAGAATGAATTCCTATAAATTGGAAAATTATGGGCCCCAAGACTATTACTTATTTTGTTCTATGTCTTTCCTAAGAAAAGAAAAAAAATGATAAAAATATCCTCAAAGAAAACTACATAATCAAAGGCAGATAAAGGATAAACCTCTGCCCCTGCAAAGTAGTAGGAATACTGATTGCAGCATTTTGTTGTGATGCTAAGGGCTGAGTGATTCATTCATATCCTGAATCCATAGGTGCCCATCTTCTTTCTGCTGACCTCTTTGCATGAAACAGCATTAATAAGTTCTGGTATAGAAAGTCTGATACTGTCAGTTGACTCAATACATCTCACCTCTGCTGAAGTGAATATGAAAGGTTAGGTGATTTCGGAAGATTCTCCAAGACTTTCCCATATTATATGTCAAAACTAAAATAACCTAAAATTAGTGTGAAGATATATAAAATCTATGTGACAAAGACATTGCCTTATGAAAAATAAAATGAACAATAACCAACATAAAATTAAGGCTTTAGAGGCAAAGGTGGCTCTTACCACTGCTGATGAAAAAGAAATTATACATAGTAAAATCCTGAAAAGTCCTTACTCTGTGAGAACACAGACAGACTAACATTGTTTAATTTAGAAGTGAATGGCTTGCGTTTTCAGTCATAATCTGTCTGGTATGAATATAACATTAGCTCTGATGTCAAAAAATAATAACAATGAGGATATTGACAGCAAATTTATCAGAATTCAGGAAAATTAATAAATAATGCTTTTAAAATAGTTTTTTGATCTTCTAAGGATCATATCTAAAGGAAGCAATGTTGATGGTGATATATAGCTTGGGAAAAAAGACAAATGCTTTGATAAAACATCTAGATGAAACTGGAAATTGAAGAGAGTGTAACTATTAAATCCATAAGACACAGTATTAGCACAGGTGACCATATGAGATTACGAGAATTCTTTCACTGTCATGCGCTTATGTGGCACATTGTTTAGATCATTGGTTCCCACTGTGGGATCTGTAGACCTTCAATAGTAGCATCCTTTGGACATTTATTAGAAATGCCAGGGCTTAGACCCCACCCAGACCTAATGAATAAAACCTTCTGGGGTGGAGCCCAGCAATCTGTTTCACAAGCCCTCCAGGTGATTCTGACTCATAATAATTTCAACCATTGGTTTACATAAAGCCACAAAGGAAAGTAAATTATTATTTTCAAATTGTAGAAGAGCAGTAAAAAAGGGAGAGGCATATTACAGCACAAATTAGTTTTGTCAACATATTTTCCCAAAGAGATCAAATAAGGATAAAGAAATACTTTATTAAATAATAATACTGCCTTACTATCAAATCATTTTACACTATGTATGAAGTATTTTCCCATACATTATTGTCTTAATACTTCCCACAGAGTTAAAGATAAAACATATCTTTATAACATGTCAATTTTCTGGAGAGATTGAACTGTAAAAAAGTGCTGAATAACAGCAAAATAATTGATGCAGATTAGTGATAAACTGACACTACATCCAAGAAAAAAAAACAGCAAAATATGAAAACAATGCTGAAACGGTAATGCCACATTTCAAGGAAGGACAGGTCTGGGTGAAAACTGTTGCTTTTTTTCTGCTCTTTACTTTTTTTATTTTTCTAGTCTTCATATTGGGTGACCTTCAGTTACACTCAGGGATATTATCCACAGTGTAATTTTTTGACAATAGGAAAAAATAATTGTAACCATATTAGTAATCTTTAAGTGACCTACATCCTTCTAAGAAGAATTCTGAGTGAAGCTTTAATGCTTATAAGTACTTTTAGCTCCACGGGTTATCCATTATTCCTGGGAGGTGTGTATTTAATCTGTCAAACATTTGTAAAACACCAAAAGCAGTATGGCCTTTGACCTGGGTCACTAAAACTATGCCCCATTCTAGTGACTTTTTGATTTCACCCAGCAGGTCTCATACATTTGTACTGTGCCTTATGAAGCATGCAAACAGACTCAAATCTTTGACTTCTGGCCACCTGTGTCCCATACTTCTTGTGTGAAAGAAATAAATGACAGGCTTGTAGATTAAGTCCCGCTCTCCTTTTTTATTCAGGTGTATTGCCAGCTGAGTTGAATGATCCATGGGTGCCTTAATTTACAATATATGTTTTTTTACTTTTATAACTTGTAGCAGTGCATGTGTTACTGACAAATTATCTTAACAGTCCGTGTCACAAATGATTTCTATTCTTTGGTAAGGAGGTGTATCAACCCAATAAAAAAATTCTAACATATTGCATGCACACACACACACACACACACACACACACACACATATATATATATCCTTAATTACCACATGTGTTTTCCATATTAATGTCATCATCATTGTTTTTAAATCCCGGATCTTTGACATTTTGGAATGCTTTTCACATGCTTACAAGAGAGCTTTATGTATTACTATTCCAGAACCTATCCTGGGAATAACAGTTGGAGATTCTACTGTGAACAAATTTCACTTTAACAGTTCTGAAAAGTTCTATGAGAATCTATAACAAAGGGACCTCACTAATAAAGCATAAAATCTAAGATTCTCTTTAGTTGTTTATCACTTTAATTCACTCATTCAAGAGATAATTATTGAATCTTTATTATGCACCAAGAACTGTGTCAGGCACTGTAGAAAATATACAGATGAGTCTCTTCCCTCCAGGTGTCTGATAAAGAAGCTAAGACAGATCCACAAATAGCTGCAACATAGGATCAGATTGCCTGAGTCCCAAACCAGAGGTGTAAGCAGTGATTTATGAGGGTTTGCCAGGAAAGATGAGTGGAGGTTTATGGAATAGGTGGCATTTATCCTAAGACTTGGATATGTAGAATTTCAAAAAATCTAAAGAAAGAGAGAAAATAATCCAAGTGGGTATGAATAGTATGCACCATTAAACAGAGAAAGAAAAGAACTGGACCTGGAAAGGAAATGTCAAGTCGTTCATACTGAATTGGTGATGAGATGAGTGAAGAAAAGTAGTGAGATGTGAGTAGAAAAATATGAAGGCTGCTGAATAAAGGAGGGTATTGAATGCCACTTTATAGTTTTGAGGTGTTGAGATGTTTTTTTTTAATCATGGGAATAAATTTTGACTAGAGATTTTTAAAGTAAGATTTTACTATAGAAAGGATCACTATTGTTGGAGTCATACAGAGCTGATTTCTATTTCCAAATCTTAGGCTTGTTAGTGATAAAGATAAGTATGTTTTTCTTCTTCTTGTGCTTCAGTTTTCTCATCTGAAAAATTAGGAATAATTACTTTTCTATCTAGGTCCCTCTGAGGATTTACTCAGGAAATACATGCGGGGCATCCTAATGGAGTATCTAAGCTGGTGAACAAAAAATTGGCTGTTCTCTATTTTTCTCTAATGGCTTAATGAATGGGGCATGAAAGACTCTAAGCAAGAAAATAAAATGTGAAACAAGGTAGTAACAAAATATTATTTTATTTTCAATAGAGGTTTGTCTAAACTAGAATAAGTCTTCAATGTAGGTTTATCTACATGTTCATAATATATAGATGCAGTAGAATAATATTTAGCTGATCTAATTTGCCCTACCTCATTTCAACATTATGGATGAAAAGTTGAAAGTTATAATAATTTCAAGTCACACACCTTAACCACATAGGTAATGTGCTCCAATATTTGGTTACACAAATCCAGTTAATCTGATCTTTAAATTCATGGCGTTAAGTCTCTTAGTTCACATTAGACACATTAGACAACAACCAGTTGTAGTTTGACAGAGTTCTGAATAGTGTTTTAATTCTTAAGAGAAAAACTGTCTCTCTTCATTTACAAATACTTAAATGTAAGACAGCATTTTACTTAGTCTTTGCATGCATATATCAAATAGCATAACCAGTGCAATCAATTTGCTAATTTAACAGAATGTTAAATCAATTTGCTAATGTGTTGTTGACTGTTACAACACAATTCCCAGCTGGAATATGAACAGTTGGAAACATGTACATAATTTCTTATTTTTCTACTCAATTGAAGGAATGCATTAAAAAAAATCAACAGATCACTGTGAGTAAATAAATGTCTCTTATCACAGTATCTTATTTAGTATCCCATTTATAGTATCCTCCACCAAAATCCCCTTCAGTGAATTGCCTTTGTGAAGATTAAGTCATTAAATAATGTGACTTCAGAGTCCACTGATTTGGCTTTGATTTAGGAGGCCACCAACTTTGTCAGAAGATGTCATCTGGAGGTTATTGCAGGGGGAAAGAGTAGTGCTGAGATAAAAACAAATGTAAATAAATAAGATTAATAAAATCCAAAACACTTACATCCTGGACATTGCCAAATCTGACTCTCAAACTTTGCCTTCTGAAACCTTTCCCCTCCGGATAACCCTCTCCACCATGTTACAATCATTTCCTGTGATTATCCAAGTTTATAAAATGAAGCTGGTGAGGGTCTGAGCCTAGAAGCCTGACAGACAGAAGACAGCAGAGCAGAGGATGGTGAGGGCGCTGGAGGCAGCAGAGGGACTGCGAGGCTTCAGAGAGAAGCTCTGCACACAGGTGGTGCACTTCCTATCTGGAGAACCATGACCTTTCCTGGGCCCTCAAAGTAGTGGCTGTCACATTAGAGTTTGCTGTGTAAACATTCCAGCATCCTGCAGTCTCAGAATACTTGGTAGGTCTCTGCTTATCCTAAGCAAGACTTATTTCCAGACTGAGATTTGAGTTTGGGATTATTCCTATTTTTTAAATCTAACCACTTTACTGAGATGTAACCAACTAAAAAAGCTGAACATTAAAAGTATACAACTTGATGAGTTTGGAGCATACACCTGTGAAACCATCACCACAGTCTATGCCATAAACATATCCCTCACCTCCAAAAGTTTCCTCCCGCCATCCTTATTTATTATCAGTTATTTTGGTGATAAGAACACTTAATGTAAGATTTACCCTCTTAGTGAGTTTTAGGCTCAACATACAATAGGCACTGTGAGGCAGAGTAGATTCCCCCTGCCTCACTTATCCTGTGTAACTGAAACGTTGTACCCTTCAACTAACACCCCCACGTTTGCCCCTCCCTCTAGCCCCTGGCAACCATCCTCCCGGTCTCCACCTCCATAAATGTGTCCGTTCTCTTACTCACATCTGTTGAAACACAGGATGGATTTGTTGCCTAAGAAAATAGCACATTCTTTTCATTTCTGAGTGGCCTATCTGCCTGTACAAATTTGCAACAACAGTTGTTTTACTCTAAGACAATAGGACATGCATCAACTTTCACCAGGGAAAATTTATACAGTACAAATTCTGCATCTAAAAATATTCAAGAAATATAGCAATCTAAATAAGTTTATATATATATTGCTATATTTCACTGAAAATACATGGACAGAGGGAGACAGTGGGGGTAGGGTTATTATCCAGTCTTGAACTTCCTTCCTTTCGCTTGGTCACCTCCCTCCTCTCCCTTCACTGCTTTTCTTTCTTTCTTCTCCTCCTTTTCTAATGATTGAAGGATGGGAATTGCTACAAATGCCACTAAATTAAAATCAGAGGAAACTAGACTAATTTGGGACAAAACTTAGTTTACCTTCATGATGCAGTCTTCATCTTTTAACTTAGACCCAGGCTGTAAGTCTCAGTGACATTATGCAGAGGTCGGTGTCCTAGCTGATACTGCAAAAGGGAGTTTTGTGTTCATTATCCAGAAATCATAATCTTACTTCTTCTTTAAGGAGTAAAATTTACCAAATTTGAGAATCAATGGTTTAATAATTAGGAAAAGAACCAAGAGTTAATTAAAGCTGGTCCAGTCCTCTGCTTAGTCACTTCCTGGCCGTGTAATCTTAGGCTAAACCACTTGAACTTCAGTTTCTTCAATTTTCAAATGGATTAAGGTTGTTGTGGAAATTTTATGAGTCATGTGAAATGTTTAGCATTTCATTCTTAATAAATGGTAACTATTCTTATTAATTCTTCAATACCATTCAACCACAACCACTTCATTACTTTGCTACGGGTTTTGCTAGATAAATAAAAGTTGAGAAAAATGAAAGATACTATTTTAGGTAGACTCTAAGGGTTAGCTTTGAAAAATGAGAGAAACAAATAACAATGGCTTCCAACAGACACATAAAGATTTTTAGCTTGCCAAAATAAACATGCCACTGAATTTTATTGATATTGTCTTAAAGTCCACAAGAATGCTTAGTCCAAAGTTAATTTTTGAACAATAAAATATATCTATAAGGCAATTACTCTAACTAAATCAAATACCAGAATTAGTTCCCTTTCTTAATAGAGGGAAAATAGGTAACCATTTATAAAATAAAAAGTATTCTCCATTTATACTTAAAAAAAAATACGTTTGAACCCACAGTCTTTTTTTCTTCAGCCTTATTGAGATATAATTGATAAAACTGTTAGATATTTAAAGAGTAGTATGTGATGATTTGACATATGTATACATTGTGAAAGGATTCCCACAATGAATTTAATAAACACATCCATTACCTCATGTAATTATCTTTGGCAGGGGTTGGGGTGGGCAAGGAGGACAAATTTAAGTTCTACTCTCTTAGCAAATTTTAGTTATATAATACATTGTTCTCAACTGTAGCTACCATGTTAAATATTATATCCTCAGACCTTATTCATCTTATAACAAGTTTATACTCTTTTACTAACCACTCCCTATTTCCCCACCCTCCAGCTTTCTACCACTTTTCTACTATGTTTCTGTAAGTTTAACTTTTCCTGTTCCTTGTTTATCTCTACATTCTTATTGTCATGTAAGACTTCATGTGAAGCCAAGAAATCTATATAATAGGAAGGAAAGATGAACTTAACCACTCTTGGGCATATGCTCTTACCTCCTGTGTTTAATATTAGCCAATGGAATATTGGGATTCTAGAAAGATAACAAGCATGTTTTCCTATTTAAGGGCCATGTCAGAAAAATTGACATTGGGAGGGCCCATCCAAGCAAGTTGACATGGCTGTGACTTATCTCTGCAAATTAATTTACTGGGATTCTGACTTACTCATCATTCTTGAGTCCTTAATTCACTGTATGGTGTGGGGAAAATATGTATTTTGTCTGTGTCAGAGCCATCAGAGCTCTGGACCTTTATAACTTCTTTAAGCTGACAAATACCATGTAATCAGACCTCCTGGGAAATAATTCTGGGATACATTGTTCACAGGGGATATCTAGACATCAGTAATAAGTGTGCTTTGTTTTTTTATAATTATACCCAGCCTTGGATGTTTTGAATACACGTAAGGTAACTGATGCCATGGTGGAGACAGAAAATTGTGAAGTATACAGGGCAAGAGACGAGATCAGTAGCAGAGAGCTGGGGTTGTCTGTCCAGCAGGTTACTGTGGTGGAGCATGTCTGTCCAGTGTAATTCAGCTCCTACTCTTTACCTTCAGTTGACTGACCCCCTGGAGTAGAAGCTAGAGGGGCCTTATCTAAGCTGCTAGCCATAATATTCCCCTCAGCTTGACCAAACTCTAGACAAGCAAACATATCCACCTACCTGGAGGGTGGCACACACGAATTCCAGGAACAGAATCTCCTGTACTCAAGACCTCCTGGACCTCACCCTATGTACCTCTTCACCTGGCCATTCATTTGCATCCCTCACAATAAACCAGTGAGAGCTGAGATTAAAGACCCCACACTTTTGGGAAGCTAAGAGGACATGTTGAATTAAGTGGGTGAGCAAACTGCAGACACCAACCATGATGGGTATTGTCTGCATCAAAAAGCTGACTAGATTTCTGTGAGTTTGCCATATTGCCTCTTTATTACATATCCAGTGGTCAGTTCTCATTTTTTCTCTTTTGCAATGTCTTAGCAATATTTGGCATCATTGTTCACTGCTTGAAACAGTCTTGGCCTCTGGAACATCACTCTCTCAGGATTCTGTTCTACCTCACTGGCTGCTCCTGTGGGATCACCTTTTCTGACATTTTCTATCCCCCAACATTACTTCTGTGGGATTTTAATGCACAAATTTGCTTTTTTGATATATTATTGAGCAGATGACAAGTGATACTAACAATGAAAGAATAGGCAAGAACTTAATACAATGACATGTTTTTGCTAAGTAATATTTAAGTGACATCAGCACACTATAGTGCAGTTCACAAGTTCAAAAGAAATTTGAAGAGGGAAAGATATGAGAATTTACTCATTATACACATGCTATTTTAGGTATGTGGAACTCACAATATCCATATAGGAGCAGTCAGCATTTCATTCCCTTGTAAAATGCAGTTTATATGAAGCACACTGTCATCATTAGTTATACCAAATTAATGTTAACAGTTTCACATTTCTGTTTTTATAGTTTCATTTTACTTAATTTTTAATTTTTAGTTATGTAAGTGTTAAAAGAATAAGAAATTTACATATGACATATAAAAAATGATTATTAAAAATTATATAACACAATGCTTATGTTATAACCGTCTCGTGTTTTCATATTTGAAATATATTGTATAGAAAAACTTTTATTTGAATTAGCTACTCAGTTTAAAGCAATGAAAACTCCTATAGGTGATGACATATAAACTGCTCTTTTGTAGGATGTGAACTCTGATGAATAAGTCAATAATTTTCATTTTAGTAATTTTATTATCATAATTTGAATTAAAGTTTTCAATAGTCTTTAGCATATGAAAAGTTTTTTCTCACTGTTATTTTCTGAGTCACAGAAGTAAAACATGTCAAAAGTCTGTGAAGAGAAAAAAATCCCTTTCAGATTTTATAATCTGATGTCATTGTAAAATGTCAGAATTTCTAAGATTACTCTTAGTAGCATCTTAATTAAACCTATAAGCCTTCATTAATTATAAAGGTGGTGAGACCACTTGGTAAGAAATGATTTATTACCTGCCACCTTCAGGCACTTTAATAAATGGTTAGAAACATTGAATCTGCTACTAAGCAAACATTATTGACTTTGTAGATACAATCTCAGGGTGACAACTGGTGACAAACTCAGAAGCTTTGTCCGTAGAGCTGGTGTGGGCCATCCCATCGCAGTCACGCTGAGGTCTTCCCTCCATGGAATTCTAGTGTTCACTTGGAACTCTGAGGCTAGCATCTCGGATGTTTCATTGATGGGCTTTTCTCTACCTCTGCACGCCTTAGGTTATTGGTATAAATGTCTGTTTCATCCTCCAGCATCAAGGTCATTGCACATAATGGATTTGCTTGAATCTTATTATATAATTCCCAACACAATGACTTCTACATATTTGGCACTCAAATATTTTGAAAAATTATTTAGTGAATTTTAGTAATTCTGTTTTAACATATGTATTAAATACATTTTTTTTTCATAGATTTTAGAGTGCAAAGGAGAAGGGAAGCCATTTAGTTATGGTACATAGCTGACTGGGAAGGACTGTCCTGCCAATTCATTTGTATCCAGCAGGCCAAGGAACAGAAAGGACTCAACTGCCATCACATTCTCAGACATGTTCGAACTGCCTACACATCTTAGTGATCACAGCTATGATCTGTCTGAACCATGCTCGTCCTGAGATTCCTACTACTGATCCTACTTGTCTGTCCTGAGGCACTTGCTGGGAAACTGGATCTGGATTAAGATATTTAGTTGTCATGTACACATCTATCCATCTAAAAATTCTTACCCTGATCCAGCAGTTGAATGAGGAACCAGCTTTATTAATTTTGCATGTTGTGCTATTCTTGCTTTCCTGATTTAAAATTTTTATATTCAGATTCTGTACCTGCCTTGTTCTTAATCTAAAAATTCCTCATAATCTTTCCCAGCCTCCAGGTTTAAGGTTTTTTCTTCTTTTGAAACAGATCCTTATGTTTTCATCCCTTACACCTAGGCCTGTTTCAGGAGTCCTTCTGTAACCTGTTATATCCTCACTCCCAACATTGTTTTGATTGGAGATCAAAGAGGAAGTGAAGCCAACAGTTTTAAACTCTGTTCATCTGGCCATTTTTAAATTAGCATATTAACCAATCCTGGTAACTATTAAGACATGAGCATTTCATGACTACTGTGACTATTGCAGCAAACCAAAAACATTAAGTACAACAAGTGAAAACTTCTAAGATACAGAAATAATTCTCTTATGTCTGTAATTTGCTTTTAATGTTGCAATGATATAAATGTTATCTTAACTTGAAGACTATATTAATTTAAAATATATCACAGACAAAAGTTACAATAATCAAATTATAGAGAATAGATCTCTTGAGTTGACTGAGTCATTGGGATGTTTACATTATCGCATTATTTTACATCTTACAGTTAAGAAGATACTGCCACAAAATATGTGAATAAATGCCAGATTCTGTCTTTGTGCCATAATGATGCTTCTTATCACCAAACAATTACTTTAGTCACTTTCATAGTTGATAGAAATCTTGCTCAACACAAATTTTCTAGACAATTCTTTTACTGTATTGTTAATAGTACGAGTTTCCGGTTTCCTTTCTTTGGTTCACATGAAACACTGGAAGAAAGGCCCCAAGTTCTGACATCTCTTTACAACAGGCAGCATGACTTGGGTTCTACAGCTTTTTCCATGAGACAGGAAGCAATTGAATGTCTCAGTGGCTTTATTGAAAGTTTTTATAAGTCTAGACAAAAACGTGCACAGAAACTGCTTGCAACCTT